TGAAAGGGAGTGGTGCCATGCTGCTATTAAGATGCAGTGGTGAGACCACTCCTGAATAACTCTTCTTTGGACCCAGATGATCCCAGTAATTTTAGGCCAGGCACAAATATCCCTTCCCTGGGCAAGGTCCTTGAGCAGGTGATAGTAAACCAGCTCCAAGCACTTGCAGATGATTACCTGGATCCATTATAGGTCAACATTCAGGCTAGATTTGGGCATGGAAACAACCTTTGTTGTCCTCTATGATAACCTATATTAGTAGAGAGACAGTGGCAGTGTGATTTTATTGATATTCCTGGATCTCTCAGCATTTCCACTGACCATAGCACAGCTGTCTGAGTTCGAAGCAGGTAAAAGAGTACTGCATTGCAATGACTCAAGAAGGTGGTTCTTGAAGGATATTACTCAGCCCCTTAGATTCTTCAGTATGGGGTTCCTTGGGGACCAATCTTCTCCCTCATGCTATTTACCATCAACATGAAACAGAGTGAAGTCATCTGGAGTTTTGGAGTATGTTGTCATCAGTTTGCTGATAACACACAACTCTACTTTTCCTATTCATCTTCAGCAGGTAAAACTGTGGATATGCTAAACCAGTGCCTGCCTGCTACAATGACTGGATGAGAGCTAACAAACTAAAGCTCAATCCAAATAAGACTGAGATTCAGTTAGTGGATAACCACTCTGGTTAGATGGACTGTGTTCTACCTGTATTAGACAGGCTTGCACTCCCCTTGGAGGTATAGGTTCATAGTCTATGGGTCCTCATCTTGGTTTGTTTGAGTTTCAGGTGGTTTCTCTCACCACCTCCTACATCAGTATTTAGACAGGGATAACCTGGTTATAGTAAACTATATTCTAGTAATCTTTATGTTAGACTGCTGCAATGTACTCTATGTGGGACTGCCCTTTAAGATTGTTCAGAAGCCGCAGCTTGCACAAATTGTGGCAACCAGATTAAAAACTGGGACCAGAAGATGTGAACACATAGCACCAATTCTGGGCTGCTTATATTGTCTCTGTGTTCCCAAGTCCAATTTAAGGTGCTGGTTTTAACAATAAAGCCCCGTGTGACCTGGGATTACAATACTTGATGGAACACCCAGCTGTAATCTACCTGGACTCTACAGGTAGATTAGGGCCTGTCTCCAACTGCCAGCTCCAAAGGAAGTGTTTTTGCTGAAAACAACTAGACAGCCTTCTCAGTGGCAGCCCCCCCCCCCCCCAGTCATGGAACAGGCACACACTGAAGCCTAGAGCTAGCACCAGTAGGGTATTTAATCAGCTCTAAATACTACACTAGAATAATACTGAGGTATCATACCAGCTGACTAACAGGTCTTATTGTTAAACATCATTAGTTACTGTAGCCACAAAATCCAATTTTAAATTTGGTTTCTAAATTTTCTAATATACTGTTATTATGTTTTACTCTTATTTGTATTTTATGTACTGTTGAAAACCACACAGAGCGCTTCAGTTGTCAGGCAGTATGGAAACAAAATGGTCTGGTGCCTAGAATGCTGGACCACACACCCATATGAACCCATCTGGGTTCCAGTCTTTATTCAGTCATGAAGCAGGTTGTTGTTGTGAGGATAAAATGGACTTATGCAAGCTGCCTTGGATTCCGCAGAAGAGGAAAAAAACAAGGATATAAATGCAATGTAAGAATAATATACTTTGTTTACCTTTTACCTCTTCCATGTGATTCTATGAATGGAAAACAAGCAGAACACTGCAGGGGCTTTTTACACAATTACTTAGAAAAACATCAACCTGCTTTTGCTCTGCAAAGCTCTCCTAGGTGCTACTGGCAGGATCAGGAGGTACTTGGCACATACAGGAGCACTTCTTGCAACCTTGGGCCATTTGGTATACGACACAGAATGGATGGATGCTTCAGAGTTTTCTCTTTAATAAACCAAACCTTTTCAAAAGACTATTTCTGTACTTTAGATTTCCAGGAAGGTGGAAGCGACTTGTCTGGCATAAAAGAAAATTGAACCAGTGTACAGTTCTTTATTCTTCAAGGGGGGAAAAAGGAGACTATTTGGCCATTAATGAAAAGATGAACCTATTAAAGATATAAAAGAGCAACTCCATATAGGTTTCTTCAAAACTTTCCTTCAGTTCTTCAATGTAGAAGATTACATATGGCAATTCAGTCTGTTGCTGACAGACCTGAGCAGATGAACACAACAGTAAATATTTCCAATTCTTATACAATTTCAAGATCCTAGAAAAAGTTTTCAGGGGAGAACTTCTGGAGTGCCATATGGATTTAGAATAACTTATTGATGAAAACTTGCAGTTTAGAGGGATTGATGGACTGCAACTTCATGAAGAACTTTCTGCCTCAACTCCCATTATAAAACTCACCATGACTGCAATTCAAATACTGGAACATGCAGTCAGACCTTTCTCCCAGTTTGACCAGTATATAACACCTACTTTCAACTTTGCTTATCACATTTCCTTCTGGCAAAAGAACCTGTTTTGAAACTCAACATTAAACAAAAAATACATTCTTCAGTGTGTCACCAGGGGGTACTAGGGCTTGACATGCTTTCAGTTGAAAAAGACCTTGCAATGGTCAATATTTTTCCTTGACCTTGCCAGTGTTGATACATTTTTCTAAGTTTCTAAGGAATGTGGTCAACAGAAAGACAAAATTTGTTTGCCCACTGCTAGTAGCATTTATTATGAATCTGAGGTGCATTACTTAAGGCATGTTGCTTTCAAGCCAGAGCATTTGTTTGTTTGTTTAAATGGTGCCTATGCATGACACACTACCATACCCTATGAATAAGTTGTGTAGTAAAGGCTGGATGCACTGTAGGTTGTTCCATGAAAATCAGACTACTGGGCTTTCTGTGGCTTGTTCTCTAGCTCCATTCCTTTGATTCTCTCCTAGTAACCCAATCTCCTTTGTGGCTGAACACATGTTACCTTATCTTTCCCGCTCTGATCACTACCGCTTTTTTGTTTACCACTTGAAAAAACAAACAGATCTGAAAAATCCATTGTGATATTGTTTTCCCAGGTTTAGATGACATGATAACCCATCACAGATCAAACGGTGCCTCAAAGAAGTGCGCTGCCGGGATGACTTGTTGCTGAAAAGCAAGCCACGTTGCAGGAAGTGGTCTTGGCCCAGGTGCCATGACAACCCACCATTGTCGGTTACCCATGATGGGTCACCAGGCTAATGTGCAAACCAGGCTAATGTGTTTCAAACAGCTCTTTCTATCACCTTAAAATATAGCAACACTGATAAATGTTGCAATGTTAAAGGAATTAAAAATAGAGGAAATCAATTTCCAAGGAAACGCTGTTATCCCAGCACCCAAAAGTCTATTTTATGCTTTTCGAGAAGCAGTAAGATGGGACAGAAAGGTGCCAAAACTGTACTTCACCTGAAGTTTCAAAATACTTTGAAGCAGCCCTAGGTCAGACAAGCGTATCACATGACCACTAGGACTATTCTTTAATACCAGGTGTTCTGTAAGCCATGTAGTATATAACATCTTAGAATATGCCTCATTATTCAGGAAACATACATGCTACTGCAACAGTTTTTCTTGAAATCACAAGTAGAGAAAACTAGTCAAAGCTAAAACTGTTTTGGCCATACAGGCCAAATTATTTTTTATTTTTTTAATATTTTGGTTAACAAGAGAAAGGCAGCTTCATTTCCTGCAGCATTTTGTAGCTCAAGGAACAACCAAGGCATCAGATTTTTAGTTGGTACTGTTTGTGGCCTGACCTCTTCATTTCCTTACCCATCAAAAATATTATCACTGTTTTCCAAGACAAAGTCACAGCAAGTGGGTCTCTGGGCACTGGCTGCATATAGAAGTGTGTTTGTTGTGTCTGACTTTTGGCCTATACATCCAATTCTGGAACCTTGTCTGACATAAGTGCCAGGCATGCATATGTAATAGACTCATGACTAAGAACAGCTTTCATAAAATTATTACAGCACGGTGATTGCCAAAAGCGGTTATCAGGAAACCAAAGAGACCGTTCTTACAAAATGCAGTAGCAATGTGCTAATATAAAAATAAGCAATAAGCCCCTATTTATGAACTTACAGCATTTCCATCCAACAACCAGTTCTAATATGCACAATTTCCTACAGGGAAAACCAATGACAACTTTCATTGCTGTCTATGCACATGTGCTTTAATTAAAAAACTAAAAAACAAGTTTTGTCATCAGAGCATATACGATCAATTTGCTTAATGTCATTGTGTCTGGTGTGCACAATTCGACATTCCATTTCTACATTCCATTAAGAGTGGAATAGTTTGCATCCGTCAAATGCCAGCAAGACGTTAAGCAGAGACACAGCACCACCTTATGGTTAGTCATGCCACAATACAGTCAAAACCTTCTCCCATCACACCAGTTTCAGGAATGACCAATGTTTGCCCCACACCCTCTGTCATACTTCTGTTAATATGAAGTAAGTCCAACATCACAGAAAAATAGATCCAGTATAGTGTTCCACATGAAAGGAAATCTATTACGGAAGCACCATGCTGTATTCAAGACACATTTTTCTATCAACTTCCAATGTTACTGTAAACCTACTATTATTATTATACCCTTATTAGTACAAGTTAATTGCACTTGCATTTCTCATCTACAACTAGATATTACCACACATACAGACATAGAACAATATCCTATTCTGCACTGGTGCTAATCTAAATTAAATTGCACTAGCACAAAGCTTGCTCTAATGCAATGTAATTTACATTAGAGGAATTGCTGAATAAGATACTGCCGAATGCGCTTTTGAATGCTTGATGATGAAAGCCCCTTCTAGAAATCAACAATACTAATTCTGCATGTGTTACTCACACAATAAGTCTCTTGCCAAGTTCCTCTCTGTAGCCTCAACTGCGTAACGGCATTATAAATAAAACTTCCAAACAACATCAGTGACACAAAGTAATATACAAAGATATACTGGGATTTAAGTTACTTACACCAGTGAAACTATATCTCCACGTTGTACCTCATAATTTCGAATACTCCAGTGGTTTAAAAGCACTACATCAGACATCTGTCCGTCTTCTGGATTCAATGATGGCTGAGGAATAAGGAAACAAAAGGAGTGTTTTGCTTAAAGAAAAATATGTAAATAACTCTAATCCAGAGGCACAGTTCTGTAATGCATGGAAGTTACTGGCTAATTGCAGCCTGTACTGTTCCATCCAGACTGTGTTTATGCCCACCTACATTTAAAGTGTAGCTGAGGAAGTGCTACATGAACTACCATTTGGGGGACTAACACAGGTATGTCAATTGGTCTTTAACTGAATTCCCTAATCTGCAGCTATATACCAGTCCCATCACGCTATTCTTTCTGTCCAGGCTACTGAAAAGGAAGGGGGGTTTTTTTGTCCGTCAGTGATAGCTGCCAATAAAGAGACTGAAGTTAACCTGTGTGCTGCAGAGATAATATCTCTACATCATAACATTCATCCTTCAGGTCACAGGGTATACTGCTCACATATACAGAATGTAAAATGCACTGAGACCTGTATTTATTAAGGCCATTAAAAGAGTCATTTTGTGAAACAATGTCAATCCCCCTATACAGTAGGTTACAATGTTACATGAAAATCGCAAGCCTGCATGCATGTTGTGGGGTTAGCTGTATTGGTGTTTAATAAGCTTTGTGATTATGTAAGCAACTCATCAATGTGAAAAGAAATACTGAACAGCCTGGTAGTATAAATGCTTCATGAGTTTGGAAAGTTTTGTTAGAATTTGCAGTAATTGTTCCATTTCCCCTGGACAAGAACACTAGAGAACCAGTGTGGTGTATTGGCTAAGCGTGTGGAATTGCGATGCAGGAGATTTGGGTTCTAGGCCCCACCTAGCCACAGAATTCACTGGATGACTTGGGATCAGTCACAGAAAGAGGGGAATTGTGTAAGCTTCCTTGAGTATCTTGAAAGGAAAAAAGTGCAGGATATAAATATAATAAGTATCTAAATTTCAAGGGAAAGTGACAAGAAAAACAATGAGATTAACAACAAAATCAGTGTGTATGAAAAGACTTCTTCATCTGACAGATAACATTCCTATCTTGTACATGTATTATACATATTGCCACTTTTTAAGATCAAAGTTCCAAGGAAGACGCAGAGGAAGAAAAGCAGGAAGAGGAGGAGATGCCAAAATATTTTACTATGAAGCAATCTGGGACACTTTTGTCTATTGCTGACAATCAAGAGCAGCAGAACTGCTTTAGTTTTCATACCCTGTGGACACCTTACCCCAGAGTCCACAAGGGCACTGAGCAGCAGAAAGGATATACATGTATCTCATCAAGGTAGCTTTCCCTGCTGTCCATTTTTGTAGAATTAATACAGAAGTGCTGAAAGAAATGCCTACTGAAATGAAGTACTAGCTTTTACAGGCATGTGCACATCATTTGAACGAGCTCTATGAGGACAGCAGCAAACGTGACCCTTCTGCAATCTTTCTATTGAAATTGTACTAGTAAGGACTTGCAGGATCAGTTGGCCTAAATCAGCACAAAGCCCTACCTCATCTTAAGACATTGTTACTTCTGTATATTTAAGAGAAACAGATCACCTGGAGATCACTTCAACAGATCCTGAAGGTGTGAATTCAGTTATTTGGTCTGAACACTACTCCTAATTTTGCCATTCTAAGCTCCAAAAGAATAATTCTAAGTTCTAATTATAATTAGTTCTAAGCTCCAAAAGAATAATAAAAACATGTATTTCAATGCATATTTTAAGATGAAACACATACAAAAATGTATTTTGAGGAGAATACATTCAACTGCACTGTGCATTTTTAGTTTCAGATACATACATAATTGAGAAAATGGGGCAGAGGAGATTTATGAAAAAACACTGAGAAGCAAATGAGAGATATGGGAAGAAACAATCCACCAGATGAACTCAACTCTCCAACATTCAGTGCATTGCTTACTGACTTAAGTGTACCATGATGACTTTTTCTTTGGCTCTCATGTAATGATATACTGAGACTATTGGAACAATTAAATAATCAGATTTAACATGTAATTTTGTCAATAGTGCTGTTTATTCATATTCATATTCTCATTCATTTTAACAGCTATAGACCACAAAATCTAAGCAAGAATTTCAGCATGCTCTTTCACTTGCAATCCTAGTTTTTCATTGCTGATATTACTTGTCATGTAAAGACTGAAAACATTTTTAATCCACAGAACAAGGAATCATTCATCCCCCTTTCAGCACATTTTTACCCCAACCATTTAAATAATATGTTTCAGCTTCCTATTTAGTGCTTCTAATCCAAGAGGCTTATTTGCATAAATTAAATAGAAGTACAATCAGTAGAAATTAAAACCAAGATAGGAAAAACCCAGAAAGACAATGTTTATAGAATTAGTTTATTGTGATTATATCCCCATAATCACTATAGAGGACAAAAGCCAACTAAAATAATGTGAGAAGTTCATTGCCTTGAGTTAAAATTAAACAAAAACTCAAGAGACAAGATTCTATTCAAAGTTTGTCTCCAAACCAACTAAAAACATAAATAGACCCATGCCTAGTAATAAATTCAGCAGTGACATGATCAGTCCATGTGGCTTCAGTCTTATTTAGTAAATTCCTTATACCTCAAACTTCCTTCTATTGGGATTCACACACAGTGAGTGAGCTCCCTTTTTCAATCTGTTTCAGAGGGGCAATGTGCCAGCATGTTATATGAAACTAAACTCTTGGGGTACATTAAAGTCTAAAGGTGCAATCCAATGCAAATTTAGATAAGTTTCTTATGTCTATACTTGCACGGGATTATATCCTAACAAATGGAATGCGACAGTAGTTTTTCTCTGAACCCATGTAGATATGAAGTAAGGATTCCAGGGATACCCACACTTTGCCAAAGACTCCCCTAAGCAGACGTGAGGCCCACTGGGGTAGAGACAGGAAAAAAGACAGCAGACAGATAATGGGCTCTTCCCATCACCTCACCTCTGGACTCTGAGACCTCCTTACAAGTAAGTGATGAGCAAAGAAAATAAGATGGGAAATGGCCATGACTGAAGAACATCACATAAAAAGACATCAAGGAGAAATAAGCTTCATGGTTCTCCTAAGTCAGAAACCATGAAGGAAAGGTAACAAAGAGTGAGGCTAGCTTATCATCCTGCAGAAGAGCAGGTTGCTTACCTGTAACTGATGTTCTTCGAGTGGCCATCTGTGCAGTCATACATATGGGTTCTGCATCTGTGCAGTGCCTTTGGCCAGAAGATTAACAGCTAACGGTTTTTGGTGGGAACTCCGCTCCCCCTCCCCCCTAGCGTTATATAAGGAGCAGAGTGTCCGCCATTTTCCAGTCTTTGAAAGACTGACATTTGTTCCTATAATAAAGGATTGTCAGTATGACAATATAGCCAAATTCAGTAGTGGTACGACACATAGCTAAAGAGATCATAGTATCGAAAGAAGATAGTCGGACCACCCATGATACCAAGCAGGGTCGGAGGGTGGGTTGTGTGACTGCACAGATAGCCATTCAAAGAACATCAGTTACAGGTAAGCCACCTGCTCTCCTTCATCGTGGCCTCTGTGCATCACACATGTGGGTAGAATAACAAGCTTACCCCAACTGGAGGAGGGAGGTGTCATCAGCAAAGGGCAGAAGAAAGGACAGCTCTGCCAAAAGAGCAATCCTGCCTGGCACAGACATTGAGTCTATAATGTCTGGCAAAGGTACAGGGGGTAGCCCAAGTGGCCGCCCTGCACACATCTTCCATCAGGACCCCTGATGCAAAGGCCGAAGAAGCAGCAACAGGTCTTGTAGAATGACCTCTTGGAGTAGATGGCAAGTCCAACTTAGCTAACTGATAAGACAGGATGATCGTATTTACTATCCATTTCGAAAGATGTTGGGAATTGACCGGGCAGCCTCAGTTGTGTTCCGAGTATTTTACAAAAAGTCTATTGGAACACCGAACAGACTCAGTCCTGGACCTTTAAAAGGCTAAGCAACGACGAACGTCCAGCATGCAGAGATCGCTCTATTGGATTTGAAGGGGTTGGAAAGAATGCTGGTAAAACAATCTCCTGTTGCATGTGAAACGAAGTAGCGATTTTCGGAAGGAAAGACGGATCCAGCCAAAGAACCACCTTTTCCTTATGAAAATTCAGGAAAGGGGGGGTCTACCCGAAGGGCGCAGAGTTCAGAGGATCTACGGGCTGAAGTCACTGCAACAAGGAAGGCAGTCTTCCATGAGACAAGGCGTAGATCAATCGTCGCCATGGGTTCGAAAGGTGATCGAGTCAGCGCTTGTAAGACCACCGAAAGACTCCAGGTGGGCATTAGAGGCCTTATAGTTGGATGTAGATTACTCAATCCTCTCAAAAATCTTTTAATCAGAGGTTGAGCAAAAATGGAGAGACCATGTATAGTCCCTTGATAATGAGAAATCGCTGTTGTATAAACTTTTATGGACGAAGGTTTGAGTCCAGACTGATGCAATTCGAAGAGGAACTGAAGAATCTCTGGAACAGAAGCCGAGGGCGCCGGAAACGAGTGTGAATCGGCAAAGTTAGAGAATCTCTGCCATTTCGCCACGTACAACTTCCTAGTAGATGATCGTAGCGCAGATTCGAGAACATACTGTAGGTCTGGGTGTAGACTCTGCTGAGCAGCAATGGCAGGGATCGTCAGTGGCGTCGAGACCAGTGCATCGCATCCGGTCATCGTATCCTCCATGCAGTCAGTTTCAGCAACAACAAGTCTGGGTGTCGAATCGTGCCCTCCCTCTGGGTAATGAGATAAGGAAGAAGAGGGAGTTGGAGAAATTCCTCTCGGGAGACGTGAAGGAGAGTTGAGAACCATGGCTGGCGTGGCCACCAGGGGGTGATCAGTAGCCCTGTGGCCCCTTTGTGAATGATCTTTGCCAACACTCTCATGATGAGTGGAATCGGAGGGAAAGCATAAAAAGTCATATTTGTCCAGGGGACCATGAAAGCGTCCCCGTGCGAGTCCTGACCTATCCCCGCTCTGGAACAATAGTTCGTGCATGCCCTGTTCTGCTGTGGTAGG